AAATGAACTATTGGGACTTCATCAAGATAAAAAGCTTTTGCCAAGCAAAGGAAACAGTCAACAAAACCTAAAGACAACCGACAGAATGGGAGAAGATATTTGCAAATGACATATCAGATAAAGGGGTAGTATCCAAAATCTATAAAGAACTCATCAAACTCAACACCCAAAGAACAAAGAATCCAATCAAGAAATGGGCAGAAGACATGAACAGACATTTTTCCAAAGAAGACATCCAAATGGCCAACAGACACATGAAAAAGTGCTCAATATCACTCGGCATCAGGGAAATCCAAATCAAAACCTCAATGAGATACCACCTCACACCAGTCAGAATGGCTAAAATTAACAAGTCAGGAAATGACAGATGTTGGTGGGGTTGCGGAGAAAGGGGAACCCTCCTACACTGTTGGTGGGAATGCAAACTGGTGCAGCCACTCTGGAAAACAGTGTGGAGGTTTCTCAAAAAGTTGAAAATAGAGCTACCATATGATCCAGCAATTGCACTACTGGGTATTTACCCCAAAGATACAAAAGTAGGGATCCGAAAGGGTACGTGCACCCCGATGTTTATAGCAGCAATGTCCACAATAGCCAAACTGTGGAAAGAGCCAAGATGTCCATCAACAGATGAATGGATACTGGACAGATGTGGTATATATATACAATGGAATATTATGCAGCCATCAAAAGGAATGAGATCTTGCCATTTGCAACGACGTGGATGGAACTGGAGGGTATTATGCTGAGCGAAATAAGTCAAACAGAGAAAGACATGTATCATATGACCTCACTGATAGGAGGAATTGTTAATCTCAGGAAACAAACTGAGGGTTGCTGGAGTGGGGGGTGGGGTGGGAGGGATGGGGTGACTGGGTGATGGACACTGGGGAGGGTATGTGCTCTGATGAGCGCTGTGAATTGTGCAGGACTGTTGAATCTCAGATCTGTACCTCTGAAACAAATAATGCAATATATGTTAAGAAAAAAAAAAGAAGGTAGCAGGAGTGGAAGAATGAAGGGGGGGAAATCAGAGGGGTAGACGAACCATGAGAGACAAGGGACTCTGAGAAACAAACTGATGGTTCTAGAGGGGAAGGGGATGGGAGGATGGGTTAGCCTGGTGATGGGTATTGAGGAGGGCACGTTCTGCATGGAGCACTGGGTGTTATGCACAAACAATGAATCATGGAACACTACATCTAAAACTAATGATGTATGGGGATTAACATAACAATAAAAAAAAAGAAATAGAACTGTAATAGCTCCATTTTATTGGGCACCCAGTATGCACTGGGTCAGTTAGGAGGGGATTTGGATGCATTGCCATTTAGCTTTTCGTGAGGTTGAATTGCTCTTTCTGCCAGTATTCACCCTCATAATACCATAAGTATGAAATTTAGCCTCATACCTTGAAGAGATGTGGTGTAATATAGCAGGCAGTGACTTCTGGCTGATCGTCCATGGACTGTACGTTTTCTTTGAATTGAGAAATCAAAGGAATTGCTGGTGTTTCTTATAGAATTAAAACATACCACATGACCCAGCATCTGCATTTCTAGGTACATACGAGAAGCAGTGAAAGCAAATGTCCATGCAAAGACTAGTGCTCGAATGTTCAGAGCAACATTATTCACAGTAGCCCCAAACCAGAAACAGCCCAAATGGCCATCAGCTGGTGATTCGATAAACAAATTGTGGTATATCCAAATAATGGAATACTACTCCACAATTAAAGAGAAACAGACTGCTGATGACAATGTGAGTGAATCTGAAAATACGGTAGTAGGTTGAAGAAACCAAACACAAAAGCTATATAATCAAAATGTGAATGTCTTTGACACTACTGAACTGTATTAAAAATGGTTAAATGGCAAATTTCTTGGTATGTATATTCTACCACATTTTTTTTAAAAAGCTACATAATGTATGATTGATTCTGTTCATACAAAATTCTAGAAAAGGCAAAACCATAGTGACCATAGTGACAGAGAACATACCTAGTTGTTGTCAGAGATCAGGGTTCAGGGAGGGGTAGACTATCCCGGGGCATAACATTTTAGGGTGATAGAAATGTTCTACATCTTGGCTGCAGTGGTGGTTCTGCAGCTGTATACATTTGCCAAAACTTATTGAATTAATACACTTAAAGATGAGTTTTATTGTTTATAAATTCTAGTTCAGTAAAGCCGATAAAAAGGAAAAAATGGCTAGGAATTTGATGGAGTTAAAAAAAAATTCTGTCTCCTAGTAAATTGTTAGGGGATTTGTCTTTCTGTTCTATAAAGCCTGTGTACCGGATCCTAAACAATAAGATGGAGCGGAATGCATTGCCTTTTCATCCCTCATTGGGTTATGTGAACACGTTTAGTAGCTGTAAACAGTATCTGATACGTTTAGGGTCCACAAAGTTACTTGAAAGTTTAATGAGAATGTTATCAACAATCAGTATTCCCAGAGGTAGAGGAAGGAAGACTGTGTGCTGTTTCCTACAAGTGGTCCTTTTTGGATTGAGTTTTGCCTACTTGCCACCCAGAGGGGTGATTCAGTTGAGATATTTCATTGCACCTTTGATATCAGCTTCATTTTGGTGTAGCAATTTTTGAATAACAGGTTGGTATAACATTTTGAATAACATAAGGTTGGTGAAAATATCTATATCTTTTCTCATTGATTTTCCCAGTTCTGGTCAAATACTTTACCTTTTTAAAAAATTTTATTTTATTTTTTATTTTTTTAAAGATTTTATTTATTTACTTGAGAGAGAGAGAGGAGATATAGCTAGAGAGAGCACGAGCGGGGAAGAGAGGGAGAAGCAGGGTCCCCGCGAGCAGGAAGCCTGATGCGGGGCTTGATCCCAGGACTCTGGGATCATGACCTGAGGCGAAGGCAGATGCTTAACTGACTGAGCCACCCAGGTGCCCCTGTGCTTTTTTTTTTTTTAAGACCTTATTCTTATTAATCTCCCTGGGGTATTTGACCTTAATATCATCCCCTTTTTCTCAAAAGCTGCTCTCTCCTTTGGTCTCTGGGAATACTGCACTCTAGTGATTGTCTCCCAACTGCAGGTGTGATTTCATTCTCTGTTTGGCTGGTGTATCTCTGTCCTTAGGTCCCCTGTGGGAACACAGCCAGTTGCCCCATTTTCTCTGGGTTTGTCCCTGGAGTATCTTATCCTTTCCCGTGATTAATCTCTTCTGGCACATCTCAAAGCTCTTTTCCCAAGTTCTCCATCAACTTTGTCTTTTACTTCTAGCTACCTCCAGGGTTCACCATCCTTATTTCTTTTTATTCTTTTTAAGATTTATTTGCGAGAGAGAGAATGAGAGACAGAGAGCATGAGAGGGAGGAGGGTCAGAGGGAGAAGCAGACTCCCTGCTGAGCAGGGAGCCCGATGTGGGACTCGATCCCGGGACTCCGGGATCATGACCTGAGCCGAAGGCAGTTGCTTAACCAACTGAGCCACCCAGGCGCCCCAACCATCCTTATTTCTTACCATTGCCCAAACTAAATATATTCCCCTTTCTTCCATGTCCTCTCATTTGGGGCTTTTCCATGCCCTTGAGACACTGCTGTTCTTTTCCCCTCAGGTTGAAAACCTGAAGCTCGGCTATTTTCCCTTTTTCCCCCATCTCCTCTATTTATTTACTGTTTGGATATTTTCTGTTTCCTCCCAGCTCTCTCCCTTCCTTTCAGCCTTTTTGATACCACTTTAATCTGTATCTTTATTGTCAGAGGTCACATGGCAATTCCACATTCTCGAGTGAAAGCTGCTGGTCAGCATGACAAAGGAGGTTTGACAATTTGGGGAGCCCTGTGTCACCGAGTCCATGTGTCAGAACCCTAGTAAATGACCGAATCTCTAGGTTCTGGAGCTTGACTTTGCTCTTACAGTCTATCTCTTGGGATGCTTTGGAAAAGTACGGTGTTTCCTTTTGTGTGTCCAGTGTCCCCTTTGCTGCCACAGCCTCTGATTTTTTAATGACAGCTTTTCCTTCCCTCATGAGTATATGCCCATGCTTCCCCTGTGCCCCGCAGAATCCTGGGTTTTGTAATTTTTAAGCTTGAGGATAACTTAATTTTGTAATTTTTAAGCTTTGGGATAACTTAAGGTTTGCTGCCTTTGTGCTCTCTTTGAGCAGTTATAATTTCTCCTCCTGACACAATAGTGCCTTAATCTTCCAACTGAAAACCAAAGCTGAAGCACCTGACATTGCAGATTTTCATGTACTTCATTCCTATTAATCACCAGTTATGTGGGTCTGTTTTTATCCCTTTTGTATTTTCCTCTCTGCTTTTACTTGGGAGGTAATAAGATTTTTTTTTTTCCATAAATTCTCTCCAAATGACTTGCATTTTTTGACAGCATTTGTAGAAGTGTCTTTGTAGGCTTGGTTGCAGAGTTGAAGGAACACGGGAAAATTTTGTAAATAAGACCCATGAAGTGCAAGTTATATTACCCTGCACTTGTTCTTCCCAAAGAGGAGAGCTGGCCACAGCCTATATTTCTTTTCTTTTTTTTTTAAGATTTTATTTATTTATTTGACACACAGAGAGATAGAGAACACTAGCAGGGGGGAGCAGCAGGCAGAGGGAGAGGGAGAGGCAGGCTCCCCGCCGAGCAGGGAGCCTGATGTGGGACTCGATCCCAGGACCCTGGGATCATGACCTGAGCCGAAGGCAGATGCTTAACCGACTGAGCCACCCAGGCGTCCCTCACAGCCTGTATTTCTTAAAATTTAACTGCATCCTCAGAAATAAGATGGTCATGCTTAATTTTTTTTTCCATTTATTTTGGCGGTGAAAGATGTGCTTCAGAAGTGAAAAGTTGATGAGTTATTTCAGTGAATAGGCTATTTTAAGGTGTTATATTTCAGTTATTTTTTTCATCAGAGAAATTTAGTTAAACATGAAGCCAGAGGCCTGGAAATATTGATTTTTCTGAATCACAATGTGATGCTGTGTTTATTTACTTTCCCTTTTATCTTTGGGCATTCTAGAGGAGTGTTTGATGCTTCCCTCAAAATGGCTGGCTTCTACGGATTGTACACATGGCTGACTCATACCATATTTGGCATCAATATTGTCTTCATACCATCAGGTAACAGTAGTATCATAACTTCCACTGTCCTCTGTTTAAGGAAAATTAAGCCATTTTCTGTACTTTGGGAAATGTCATCTTCCTCAAGCTTAAAATACTAAATTTTAGAGATCTAATCTAGTCCAGAATAGGAGCAGAAGTATGATTTGTAATGTGTATTTATGCTGTATTTCCAGTAGCTTGAACGATAACCCAGCACATAGAAAGCAGTGCATCAGTATTTGTTAAATGAGTGAATGTCCTAGCACTTAGCACAACACCTAGTATGTATGTACTTGGCACTCAGTAAATGTTTGAGTTGAACTGATTGGCAGGGAGCAATGAGTTGGTCAAATAGCTTTGTCCCCTGAAGGATACTGTCCCAGGGGCAAGATGAATGAGCTGCCTCCATACCCCGTAGGATCAATTCCATATGCTCATTCCATAAGCACCAGAATGGTTCAAAACCACCCTTTACTTTTTCCTCTACATTATTTCTGCTCCTCTTCTTCCACTTTTCCTTCCTTTATTTCTGTGGTTGCTTGACTTCCCAGATATATCTGCCTTCCACATTTACCCTCTACCACCATTTTTTCCCCTTTTGGTCCACACTCCCTTTCTTCCTTACATTCCCAAGTTCATTCATGTTCTTTCCTACTTCGCTGTCCACTAAGCCACCCTCTGATGTGCGAGCAGCCTGAGAACACATGGCGGTCGTTGTTTCATAACGACCTTGTGAAGCAGGCAGGGTCGGTGGGGTTCCTGTCGTAGAGATGAGAAACCACACGTTTTCCAAGGTCACATACCTGGCAGGACCAGAACTAGATCCACGTCTGCTTGACTCTTAGTCTGGAGGGGAGCCAGAGGAGAGAGCAAACACGCTGCTGTGGAAGGGGATGAGCTTGAAGTGAGTCCTTTGGCGATTAGGGCTTTTGGTTTTGTTTTTGTTTAAACTACATTTCATTTTTATTAGAAAGAAACAAGGTGAAGGATATACATTCATCTCTGAGGTTTAGAAACTAACTTCTAATTTGGCTTTGGACTCAGTATAAATTTGACCAATGCTTTACTGTTGCATTATAGGGTTGTATATTAATTAACTAACCATTGATTCAAAATAACAACTGCGGGACACTAGAATTTTGTTGCTTAAGAAGAGATTCATGAAAAGAAAAAGATTCATGAAGTAGACACATACTTTAGAAAGATTTTCAGCATCAGCTTTTGAGTTATATATCAGACCTTCATTTCACTAACAAATTCAGTTAAACGGGGCGTTATCATGCACTGAGTTTGTGTTTAACTTGTTTTGGTGTAATTGTTTAAGTAGGAGGAGCTAGTGCTTAGGTTCTGCTGTTTTGTTATTGTTTTAGTGGTGATGTTAAGTTGCTTTTCTTTTAATCTTAGCTTTAGCAGCAATCCTGGGAGCGGTACCATTTCTGGGGACATACTGGGCAGCAGTACCTGCAGTTCTAGACCTGTGGCTTACACAAGGCTTAGGGTGCAAAGCCATCTTACTGTTGGTTTTTCATCTCTTGCCAACATACTTTGTAGATACTGCCATCTATTCGGATATATCAGGGTAAGTATCCACAGAACTTCTCAAGTTGCTGGTGAATCATATCCAGGGATTTATGTGGCCTTGTTAAAGAAAGGTTGTTTTGTTTTATTTTCCCTTTTGGGGATGGGAAAAGGGACAGATGGTAGGATTTTTCAGTGAAGTAGTCTTTTGTGGTCCCACTGATCCAATCAGATTTTAATGTAATATAATTAATACTGTTTGCAAGGTATGCTATTTTGTTGTCTAAGTATTTACAATATATGAGACTCTGTTAACACAAAATTGTGAATAATCTTCTGTTTTAGTGATATTTAAGCTAGGAAAGAAATATTATTAGATGTACATAAAACATTTAAAGTACAGAAATGAGTTAGTGGTTATTTTTAGAACTTCTTTGCTTTTGGAGAAAAACATTTAGTTGTAGGTCTGAGGTTTTCCATGTGAAATCAAATCTCATCAAGTTAATGTCTGATAAGCAGAGAGCTCTCTTTACTTAAGATATTATAGTATGGGTCTAGGATGAGTACAGGTTAAATTGAAGACAGAATCCAAGCTTTGGCTATGTAATATAATAAATACTTGTTTTTTAGATTTTGGTATCTCTTAGAAATTGCATTAAGTAAATCAAGCCAATTCTTATTTAGTCACATATCCAGATTCACATTGCTTATTAGAATCTAGGATGTAACCAAATGCTGAATTTTCATCAGTTACTGAAGTTCAGAATATGCCTACTGAAACTGTCATAATAGTTAATATAGTAAAATTCACCATCACAGTAAGTGTAGATAAGGGCTCAGTTCATAGAAAGAGTACCCTTCAGTTAATTTGAGAATATACAGGGACAAATTATATGCCACCTTATTTTCTCTCTAGTAAGTTGAAGTAGAAAACAAATGATATATAACTACTCTGACGTCCCAAAGTTCCAGAGCAGAAAGAAACAAGCAACTCCATACACAAGCCTTAGGGAAACTTTTATGTCTAAAACTTGAGAGAGAAAATTAAAGACAAAAGGAGAACGTCAGAACGTGGTTAACTAGTGCTTAACAGTTGAAATTTAAATAGAGTAGTTATATGACTTATCGTTAAATGTTTTCATTTCTCTAAACTTTAAATTTTTTATTGAAGTTTCTAGCTAGAATTTAAGATTTTTATGTGATTTTTATCTTAATAATAAAATACTACCTTATTTAGCCAGCATTAGGAAATGAAAGAGTTTGTGTAAATTGTTTTATTTTTTAATAAATGAAGCCTTTATTTAAAAGCTTCCACACTTTTTTTTAAGCTTTAAGCATTTTTTTTTTTTTTAAAGATTTTATTTATTTATTTGACAGAGAGACAGAGACAGTGAGGGAGGGAACACAAGCAGGGGGAGTGGGAGAGGGAGAAGCAGGCTTCCTGCGGAGCAGGGGGCCCGATGCGGGGCTCGATCCCAGGACCCTGAGATCATGACCTGAGCCGAAGGCAGACGCTTAATGACTGAGCCACCCAGGCTCCCCAGCTTTAAGCATTTTTGATAGGAAATTTTTAGAAGTGTATTTTTAGGGAAAAAGCTTACTTACATAGCATACATATGTGGAATACTGCCCTAAATTTTTTTTTTTTTTTTAGAGTGAGGAAGATAGATTATGAATATAGTGTATTAGTTTCCTAAAGACTACCTCACCTTAAATCTTACTTATTGAACTGTAACATAGTACAGGACATTATTCCAGAGTTATTTGCCCCACAGTAAATTGTTCCAGTCACCTGTGTTTGAAAACTAGAAATAGAACATACTGTCTTTCCCAGTCCCTCTTATGTTAGTGGTCATTTGTTATTGTTATCACTGTGCGGAGCTGCTGTAACCTCTTACTGTATTCGGGTTATATAAGTGATCCTGTGATAAGCTGGAGAACAATTATGACTCTTGTGAGATAGAAATCTTGGGCTTTGTGACGGATAGTTTCTTCATGAGGCCCTTTATCATTACCCATGTTTAAAAACTATTTTACGATGTTGCCACAAGTCTAACCTATGAATAATGTGGATGCTATTGTATTGCTTTATAAAAAGCATAATTATTTGAATTATATGTAAATTGTGCCCATTTAACTATTCTTGTTGGAAGTAAACTCAACATGTGACTTTTGTAACCACTCCTCAGCCAACACTAACCTAGGTCAGGCATCCATGTAATGGGTGTAGGATATCTGCTAACAGTCTGACTTCACTCCCTCCATCGATGGACCTTATAAAAAGGCAGATGTTGTATGTGTTACATAGGTAAGAAAATGCTTGCATCTCAGTATTATTACAACCAACGTTGTTATCTGCACTGAAGTAATCTAAAGAAAGCTGGTCATGCAATCAAAGGCCTGGTGTGTTAGGAATGAACATAGTGTTAGAGATGTGTTTCAGATTTACTCCAAGGTTTATGTTTGTTAAAAGCCATGAGCTAATCTGTATGCTCTTTCTTCCAGAGGTGGGCATCCTTACTTGACAGGCTTGGCAGTGGCTGGTGGGGCTTACTACTTGGGCCTGGAAGGAGCAATCATTGGGCCCATACTTCTCTGCATACTCGTGGTCGCTTCTAATATCTATAGTGCCATGCTAGTGAGTCCCACGAATTCAGTGCCCACGCCAAACCAGACCCCGTGGCCTGCTCAGACTCAGCGGTGAGTTAAAGTAGAATGACCATGAACTCTGTGTGTGAAATTGAACTATCCCATGATTTATTTTTTTACATGAATGGTCTGTCAGGATACAGGTATTTCAGTGCACACGCTCTGCTGAAGATTGTAGAAGACTCTAAGTAGAAAACATTTGTTTGTAGACGTTTGGGTTTCAGATACCAGGAAATTTTAAAAACTAAATTGGGACAGAATTGTTCATGTCATGAAAGACCAAAATAAAAAAAAAAAAACATTTAAAAAACACTTGGGGACATGGTGTACCAGATTAAAGGTGGGGGTCAGGGAACAGGACAATCAAATGCAGTGCAGGCATCAGTGGACGGTCCTGGATTAGGGGTGGGGAGAATCGATAAAGAACATTTATGGAACAGTTGGAGAAATCTGAATATGGGCTATGTATTAAATAGTATTTTTATATCAGTGTTAAATTTCCTAGGCATGATAATGATACCTTGGTTGTATAGCAGAATATCCTTTAGGGGTAAGATGTCAAGATGTCTGCAACTTATTTTCTTTTTCTTTTTTTTTTTTTAAAGATTTTATTTATTTATTTGAGAAAGAGAGAATGAGAGACAGAGAGCATGAGAGGGAGGAGGGTCAGAGGGAGAAGCAGACTCCCTGCTGAGCAGGGAGCCCGATGTGGGACTCGATCCCGGGACTCCAGGATCATGACCTGAGGCAGTCACTTAACCAACTGAGCCACCCAGGTGCCCCTGCAACTTATTTTTAAATAGTTTAGCCAAAACTAATAGAGGGGAAGTGACAATAGCAACATACTAACAATTGTTGAGTCTAGATGAATGACATATGGTTAATTGCACTAGTCTTTCAATTTTTCTGTAGCTTTATAAAGCTGTAAAAAGTTGGGAAAAAATTCTGAGTATGCTAGTATGGAGTTATAACTTATTTTGCAAGTACAGACAGACAATTCATAATTGCTGTCATCTGCTGTCACCAACAGTTCATAAATTAAATTATAATGTAATATGAATTATAATTAAAAAGTTTTCCCTGATTGTGTCAAAATTTTACAAAGCTTTTTATTGAGGTTTATCTTCCATGGGCTGAGATGCACATCTTAAATATACAACAGATGGATTTTTTCAATACATATACCTATGTAAGCATCCCCTGTATTAAGGTATAGAGTATTTCCATTACTCTAGAAACCTTCCCCATACACCTTCTCAGTCAGACCCCTTCTCTGCTGGTAATCTGACCACTGTCACCTTAGATTGGCTTTGCCTCTTTTTGAACTTCACTTAACAGGAATCCTATATAGTAAGTACTCCTGAGTCAGGCTCTTCTGCTCAGCATTGTCTGTGACCTCAGCCACATTGTTGCATGGACCAGTCATCTTTTTCTCATGCTGCCTAGTATTCCAGTGCATGAGGATACCACAGTTTATTCATTGCAGTGTTGATGGACATTTGTGTACTTGCCAGTTTATTTTTTTTTTTTAAGATTTTATTTATCTAAGAGAGAGAGAGCACAAGCAGGGGGCAGGGCAGAGGGAGAGGGAGAAGCAGGCTCCTCCTTGAGCAGGGAGCCAGTGCGGTACTCCATTCCCACCCCTGGGATCATGACCTAAGCCAGAGGCAGACGCTTAACCGCCTGAGCCACCCAGGCGCCCCCTACTGGCCAGTTTCTTGTACTACATGTCTTCTGGCGGACGGGAGTACTTAGTTTGAGTATATACCAAGAAGTGGAATGGCTGGGTATACATCAGGTTTAACTTCAGAGGATACTACTTGTTAAACAGTTTTTCTTCATGATTGTACCAGAAATCACATGTTAACAACAGAAAAGTAAGATGGACTGTTAAGAATGAAAAAGTAAGAAGTCTCAGAATGAAGAATTTTAACTTTTCAGAGACTATACTACATTGTCCTTATTATTCTCCACTGGAAAATAATTTTTCCTGCCATTGGGTCTTCTAGTGTAATCAAGGAGTCATTAACGAGTTGATTCTGAAAATGTATTTACTGAAACTATTTTATGTTTTTCTTTAAAATTCTTTAGAGGGGCGCCTGGGTGGCTCAGTCGTTAGGCGTCTGCCTTCGGTTCAGGTCATGATCCTAGGGTCCTGGGATCAAGCCCCGCATCGGGCTCCCTGCTCCGCGGGAAGCCTGCTTCTCTCTCCCACTGCCCCTGCCTGTGTTCCCTCTCTCGCTGTGTCTCTCTCTGTCAAATAAATAAAATCTAAAAAAAATAAAATTCTTTAGAAACATGTTTCTGCTTATTTTGTGTAAATGTACTTTGTGAAGAAAGACATGGTCTTTTAACTCAGAACAAGTCGAATACAGTTTCTGAGTTAGACCCACTTGGTTAGAGGGCCATTTTAGCTAATGCAAGGCACTTAACTTGATGGCAGGGAAAAATGCGTTTCCTTAAAAAGAATAAAAGGAGAGGCACTTATGTAGCTTTAACAAAAGCTTCACCATTTTGAAGGTGGTGACCCTATGATTTCTGCCTTTACCTCTTAAAGGCAGATATGTGGGTACCTGAGAAACCAATGAACAGTTACTTGAAAGCAATAAAGAGCACTTGATAACTGGATACCCTACTCCTTGGGGATCCATACAAGAAACCAAAAGAAAATTGGTTGATCAATATTTTGCTGTTACTTTAGAAAAATACTTTTAATGATTCCAAGTTAGTAAAGCAGGAATTGGTTTTTAACTAATATGAATTCTTCCAGAGGCAAATGACCCTTTCCCCCTTCTCTGAAGGGGGAACTAACTTCTCTGAAGGTAGAATATTATTAATTAGGTGGCAGGGGAGCTAGAAAATTTAATGTGAGGGCTTTTATAGTCTTCATCTTTTTTTTTCTTTAGAAGTTGTGTATGCATGTATTTGAAAGGGTCAAAAATTTCTACAAAGCTTATTGTGAAAACTATCCTTTGCTTTCCCCTTGTCTCTCCTTTTCTGCTCTGAGAGGAGCCACTTTTTTTTTTTTTTTTTTTTTTTTTTTGAGAGAGAGAAAGAGCATGGGGTGGGGGATGAGGAGCAGAGGGAGAAGCAGACTCCCTGCTAAGCGTGGAGCCTGACGTGGGGCTTGATCCCAGGACCCTGGGATCATGACCTGAGCCAAAGGCAGCTGCTTAACCAACTGAGCCACCCAGGTGCCCCTGAGAGGAACCACTTTTTGACTCTAATTTGACTTTTACCTCCATTTCTTGAAATAGCATGTTTATTCCTTGATTTTTTTTTTTTTTCATGAATAGGCATTATCTGTTTCCTTCCCAGTTGGAAGGTGAGAAATTAGCTCTTTCCTACCCACCTCCCATTATTGAACTGTGATATCGGTTAGATCAGTATTTGGCACTTACATTATTATGACTCTGTAAATTATATTCCTATTTGAGCCTTCTTGTATATTGTGTCTGTATTTCCTTACTTTATACAGCTTTTTGCTTTCCTTTGAGTTATAAAGATACTGTGTTTTGTTGTATGTGAGTACTTACAATTAGCCTCAAGCTATGCACCAGGTGTTCACATCTCCTCTTGCTCAGTATGCTCCGTTGTATCAACTGAGCATATCTTCCTGATGAAGTCTCTGCTAGAGTCTTCTGATCTGCTCCAGTGGATGCTGGCTGCCCTTTCCCCCACTATTCAGCTGTCATTCCTTCAGCTCTTCCCTGTGTTGGAATTCTCACTCCCCATATTATTTTCTTTCTTGATTTATTCCCTTTTTGTTGGAGCACAATCTCCTATAGATTTTTGGGAAAGAATGCATGGGGAGTGAATTTTGGGAGGATGATGCATGTCTGAAGAGGTTTTTCCTAAAGTCATACTTAATCAATAGCTTGCCTGGGTAGAGAATTTTTTTTCTAAGATTTTATTTATTTGAGAGAGAGAGAGAGCGTGCGCATGAGCAGGAGAAGGGGCAGAGAGAGAGGGAGAAGCCGACTCCCCGCTGAGCAAGGAGCCTGACAAGGAGCTTGATCCTAGGACCGGGATCAAGACCTGAGCCAAAGGCAGATGCTTACTGACTGAGCCACCCAGGCGCCCCTGGATAGAGAATTTTATGTGTGAAAATTTTTACCTTTAGACTTTCTTTATTTCCTCATTCTCTTCTTGTTTCCATGCTTGTTAAAAGTCTGAAGTCGTTCTGATTCCTGAACGTTTCCTTAAAAACGTTCCTGATACTTGATAAGACCTTTAAAACTGGAAACTTATGTTCTGCAGTTCTAAAATTTTTCTTGAATTATTTCATTTTTATGATTTCCTTCTCATCCTTTCAGAAACTTAGTTTGATGTTGAGTCTCATACCCTGGTCATCTTATTTTCTTATCTCTGCTGTTTTTCCATTTCTGATTTTTTGCCTCCGTTTTCTGGGTGAATTTTTCAATTTTATTTTCCAAACCTTCCACAGAGATTTTCATTTTTACCACATTTTTTTCAGTCCTGTTTATCAAGGTGTTATTTACATAAATAAAATCTATACTTTTTTTTTTTTAAAGATTTTATTTATTTATTTGAGAGAGAGAATGAGGTAGAGCATGAGAGGGGGGAGGGTCGAGGGAGAAGCAGACTCCCTGCCAAGCAGGGAGCCCGATGTGGGACTTGATCCCGGGACTCCAGGATCATGACCGGAGCCGAAGGCAGTTGCTTAACCAACTGAGCCACCCAGGCGCCCTAAAATCTACCTTTAAAAAAAAAATAAAATCTACCTTTTTAGCATTCAGGAAGTTATTAGTTTTCTGTGATGCATAACAAATTAGCCCTGGCTTAATGGCTTTCAAACAACATGCATTTATTCTGTCCAAGTTTCCATGGGCCGGAAGTCCAGGCACCATGTAGCTGGATCTTCTGGCTTTGGTTCTGACAAGGCTGCAGTCAAGGTGTCAGCTGGAGCTGGGGTTTCCTCTGCGGCTTGGGTTCTAAGCTTGCCGTGTGTTGGCAGGATTCATTTTCCTGCAGTTGTGGAACTGAGGCTGACAGCTGGTGGTGGCCCCTCTCCGTAGGCAGTTTCGTAT